GGTGAGGTGGGGAGAAGGGCACGTGGGGCAGCTGGGCGGGTCATGGGTGGTGTGGGGTGCGGGGGGAGCAGGTGAGGTGGGGAGAAGGGCACGTGGGGCAGCTGGGCAGGTCATGGGTGGTATGGCAGCAGCGGAGGCCAGATGACTAATGGGACATGTGGCCTCTGCCGGCCAGCTGCTCTCCGGCCACACTCCTGGAGCCACGGCCCATTCAGCCAGACCCCTGAAGCTGAGGGCAAGGGCCCCAGGACAGCTAGCTCCAAGGGGCCTGCCGCCACCATAGCCAGGCCTCAGGGTGGCCCCTCAGGGATGGGAAAGCCATGGAGGGCCGGAGATCATGAGGGGCCCAGAAAGGCTAGGGTAGGGGCGGGACTACCCCCTCCAGGCCCCACTGTCCCCCTGGGCCGCTGGGCCAGGCTGGGACCTCACCTGTCATGCGTCTTCATGAAGTCCCATGACTTCTGGATGCCGTTCTGAAAGAGACAGGGCAGCAGTCAGGGCGGGCCACCAGGCAGAGGCAGCACGGGTGGAGGACGCTCCTGGGAGCTGGAAGAGCAGACAGACCAAGCTGCACCAGCTCCTAACCAGGGAGACCCGCTCACGGGTTGGGCCCATCAGGAGCCAGGAGCTGCAGTGGTTGGGACGGGGGAAATAGCCTGGGCTGAGCCTGGGCTGGGCGGGGAGGTCAAGGACAGCTTGACCCCAGGAGGGATAAGGCAGAAAACCAGGGCAAAGTGTGGAAAAGGCATCCCAGGCACGACAGGAACCAGTGCACAGTGCCCCAGTGCAGGACACGGGGCCAAATACGTGGGGCTGTGGAGAGGTGTACGCTGTCACCAAGTGTGGGAAGCACTAGACGTGGCAGGTCCCCCTGAAAGCGCACCAGCCCAGGAGCGGCTGGGGTGGTGGAGCCCGAGCAGATGGGGGACCACATCGCAGTGCTAAGTGGTTCAGTGATGTGACTGGACAGTGGTAGTTTCGGAGCCAGAGGCCATGGACCCCCACCCGGTTTCTGGCTTGGGCCGTCTCTTGTGCATCCCAGTCCCATGCTGAACTCCAGGCAGCCTCACCTGGCCAAAACTGCTTCCCCTTTCCACCTGTACCCCTACCCTGGGCCCCTGCCCTGGCAGGGCTCCCAGGACCCAGGCAGTACCCAGGGCGCAAAGAGAGCAGTGCAGGGCAGGGGCCTGGGCCAGGTCCCCTGCGGGCAGCCAGGACAGATGCAAATGAGGCTCCACCAGGCAGAGGCATGAGGGGCTCAGAAGCCGCCAGCAGGGCACTCCTGGCTGAGACAGGCCCCATCCTCGAGGGTGGGCATAGGTCACTGAGGCCAGGCTTGGGGCTGCAGCAGGCAGGTGCCATTCCACCCCTTTCCCCAAGGGGTCTCTGCTGATGGGGCTAGGCCTGGGCTCCCTGAGGTCCCTGCCCTGTGAGGGCCCACCTCCAGCATCCAGTGGCCCAACTGCCACACAGTTATGCGGGCAGCTGCGAGGCCCTGGCAAGCAGCTGGCCCCACCCTGGGCTCTGTCCAGGTGGAGGAGGGTCCGGGCCATGAAATGCACTGAGACCTGAGCAGGACACTCAGAAAATGCGGCCAGGCTCAGAAGAGGGAGGACGCTGAAGGGACAGGGGCTCCGTGAGGGCTTCCTGGAGGAGGTGGCTGCCAAGGCCCCCACAGACATAAGGGATGGGCAGCATACAGGCAGGGCCCAGAGGTGGCTCCAGGGTAGGTGGGAAGGCTGGTCTGAGCTTGGCCAGGAGGCAGCAGGTGAGGAGGTACAGTGGCCTCAGTTTCCAGGGGGGACCAGTGTCCCCAGGTGTACAGGTCAGGCTGCCCGCAGGCCATTGTGAGGCGCCACCCAGCAGGCGAGCCCGGGCCTGCCCAACATCTGCCATGGGGCCAGCCACCCCGGGACAGGGCCAGGGAAGCCAGCCCCACTCACATCTCCTCCATCAGTCTGTCCCATGCTGTTCCCCAACCCCTGTGACATCTGCTGATCATCAAGATCAGTTTGTAGGCCCAGCCAAGGCGGGGTGCAGGAGAAGGTCCAGGGCCAACCTCCCACAGGACCCCCAGCCCGGTTGTCAGGCTCCCTGGGAGGGAAGCTGCGTGGAGCAGGGCTGGGATGTGATCACAGCCCCCGCCCTGTCAGAGACTTGGTGGGTGCCCCGCCATTGTCTGTCTGTCCATCCACCAGGCTCCCCTGATGGGGGGTGGTACGCCCTTGCCCCAGGCCAGGTCCCCAGCCTATGCCCACCACGCCGACTACACCCACTCTACGACAGAAGAGCTCCCCCTCAAGGCTGTGCAGCCAAAGCCAGCGTTCCCATGTCCACCAGCCTCCCCGCCCTGGGCCAGCACCAGGGAGGTGAGTAGCGACCCCCATGTCCCCACTCGGTCTCATAACTGGCCTGTGCTGCCCCAGACCAGCTGCCAGCCTGGGCCCCTCCCAGGGTATGACCTCCCAGTCGTCCTGGGGTCCACAGGACTACAACTAAGGAGAGGGGAGATGAGGGGCTGCTGGGCCTCTCAGGCTGGAGTGGGGGGGACTTCAGCGGGAGCTGTCCAGAGGAAGGGAAGGGGCCTGGAGAGGAGGGGCGGGATGGGGCGCTCTAGGCAACAGGGCAGGGTGACTGCGGCCACGAGGGCCGGCTCCGTCCGAGTGCCATGGAGGAGCCCCAGCAGGAGGGGCTGGCTGGGGGCAGGTGAAACCATGGGGAGCAGAAACAGCAGAAGGCGGGCAGCGAAGATGCGAGGCACACAGCCCACCTGCAGATGCTCAGGAGGAGGAGGCGCCATGCTCCCTGGCCTGAGTGAGTAGAGGGAGGCCGCAGCGACGCTGTCACTCAGCAAAACTGTGTGTGTGCCCATCATGCGCTCCTGGCCTTGCTCTCAGGGGCTCGCACCGTGGCGGGGACACGGGGTGGGGAGGGAGGTGCTGCCCTCCTGGAGGAAGGGCTGCACTTGGGCAGCCTTCGACAGGCAGGTGGAGACCCCATAGCCCCGGGAAGAAGCCTGCCTTACTGGCCTGCTGCCAGGACCCCCGCGGCCAGCCCTCCAGTCCCCACTCAGCTCTCTCTCCTGACTCTTCCCTCCCGGCCTCCATTCCTCTGGCCCGCCTAGAACTCGTCCTCCTCCTGCCATCTATCTCCTCTTTCAAGTCGCAGCATCAAGGCCACCACCTCCGAGAAGCCTTCCCTGATCCCCGGGGCGCCTGATAAGTTCCACCGCACCACGGGACGGAGGTGGGCACAGGCAGGGACGGGCTCCGCAAACCTGCTTGGAAGATAGGCGGTGCCCCAGGTGTTCTTCTCTTGGCCCCTCCCCGGGCTGTGCGCTCAGCCTGTCCGCGAACCTGTGACCCAGCGGACAGAGGCGGGGCCGCCCGCAGAGACCGGCGCTCGCTGGGGCGGGTGGGGGCT